TTTTTTTGGTCTTTTTGAGACAGGGTCTCCCTGTAGCCCCAGCTGTCCTGGAACTCACTATGTAGACCTGGCTGGCCTTGAACTCACAGAGATCCACCTGCCTCTGCCTCCCAAGTACCGGGGACTACAGGTGTGCACCACCACACCTGGCTAGATTTATTCTATTTTTAATTATGTGTAAGTATGTATGTTTCTGCATATGTGTGCCACATGTGCATTGGTATCTATGGAGGCCAGGTGAGGGCATTGGATTCGCTAGAGCTGGAGTTATAGGTGGCTGTGAACTGCCCAACAAAGATGCTGGGAACAGAACTAGTGTCCTCTAGAACAGGAATTGCTCCTAACTGCTGAATTATCTCCTTAGCCCTAGAATATTTTTCTACATTTATCTATTATTTTGTGCATGTTTGTATGTATGTGTGTGTTTGTGGGTATCTATGCAGGATGCTTGTGTGCAGGTCAGAGAACAGCTTTGGAGAGTGGGTTTTCTCCTCCCACCATGTGGGTTCTGGGGATTGAACAATGGTTACCAGGCCTGACAGCAAGTACCTTTACTTACTGAGCCATCTCACAGGTCCTGGTTTTTTTTTTCTTTTTTTTCTTTTTTGAGATGGGGTAATGCTATATAGTTCAAGATGGTCTTAAACTAAAAAATCCTCTTGCCTCACCTTGAACTCTTAAATGTTGGGATTATGGGATTATAGGTATGATCCACCACTTTATTTTTTTTTTTTACACTGTTTTTACGTTTGCTTGGGGGATGGGAGTACCAGTCCCAGTGCATATGTGGAAGTCAGAGGTTCCGCCATCTCTTCTGCCTCATTTTTCTTCACAATACTATTAGTACAAGTATAATTCTATGTAATAGCGCTCTAGAATTAATACTTACTCTTGTTTTATCAAATAGTTCTGAAACTTTGAGGAAAAATCTGTAAAAGGAAAATATTTTTTATCAGAAGCAGCATTTGAATAATCTCCCATTTTAACTGTTTAGGGAATATGCCCCAAAACATATTAATAAAGAACATTCCATAAAATTGAATGATCTTGTTAACTGAAGACTTCACTAGTATAACAAAAATCTCCCTGCAACTCTAAAGTGCTTACATAAAATCTGTTACAGAAAACTCATTTCATTTCAATGATTTCATGACAGTCTAAGTCATATACCAGAAGAACATTTGCCAGGTGTGGTGCAACAGGCCTTTAATACCAGGACTTAGGAGCCAGAGGCAGGCAGATCTCTGTGAGTTCAAGGCCAGCCTGGTCTACATGGGAGTTTCAGGCCAGCTGGGGCTACAGGGAGACTGTCTCAAAAAGACCAAAAAAGAGAGGGGGGGACCTGGAAAAATGAGAAAAAGGAAAGCATTTAGAATTCTAGTAAAACAAGTTGATAACTAAGACACAAAGATCCAGCACCTCACTCTCAGCACTGGGGAAGCAGAGGCAGGAGAATCATCCTTGGCTACATAGTAATTTTGAGGCCTGCCTAGGTTACATGTGACCATGTGACCAAAAGGGGTGATGGTGCATGCCTTTAATCTCAGCATCAGGAGGCAGCAGAAGGATCTGTGTGACATCCGAGGCCAGCCTGGTCTACATAACAAGTCCCAGACTAGCTGAGGCAATAGGTAGACCCAACAAAAAAAGGGGGGCAACACTGGGGATTTAGCTCCGTGGTAGAGTGCTAAATGTGCTTGGTCACCAGTTCTGGGGGAAGGAGTAGGAGCTGTGGGTGGGGGAAGAAGCAAGGTGTTTTAAAGAAAGTTTACTTTCA